TTCAGGTATGGGAGTGGTGAGAGAGTGGAGTAGATTCTCCGCAAACCTATTTTCACCATAATCCTGCGGGAGTAACCAAGTTGCTTCAGCCTGCTGAAGCTCATGGTGGACATCGTGGGGAGCGACAGTCGAACTGCCGCGTGTATTACATGCGCCCGACCCTGGCCCGGTACTCTTGACCCTGTCATTAAACCGGGCATCGGCGGATGAGGGGATGCAGCACTTAAAACTGACTCACGCGCAAGTCGCCGCGTTTGCCTTCAGCCTGTTGAAGATAGCGGGAAACATCGTCGGATTCGACGGTCGAACTGTCGATGTATCGTGATAAAACCCAAAAATTGCATCAAGTTAGCAGTGTTAGCCAAAGTCACCACCGATGAATGGTTGGGTTTGAACATTTATGATAGTTGTCGTCCAGCTAGAACAATATTTTATGCCCGAGTTATAACTACAGAAACACAATCCATGTTTTTCGAGTGATTGCGGATCCATAATCTAACTCATAATCGTCCTGAGTACGATAATAGAGAGCTGTTTATGAAAATATAAGAACTCAAAAATTAACCGTCCTGCTTACATTCCATGCCCGAATCGTCCTCTGAGGACTTTTTTGAGTCTTTAAGAGGCGTGTCCTTGATTTCGGGCGAGGTGGTAAGATTGAGGCTGTTGGGATCGGACCTGCCGCCGGTCTCAGTGAAAACATATGGTTTTGGACTTGGGAGAGGTGACCAAAGAGAGGTCTCGCTGTCACTGGCTCCGGAGGATAGCTTGAGGGCGTAGAAAGGAGCCGAAGATGGAAGATTGGTTGAGTCGCAGGGAGTTGGTTGGGCAGAGCCTCCCTGGGTGGACTGGAGATCAATACTATCTGCCGGACTAGGAATAGTTGGTGATGAGGGTGGACGTGCAGAGCAGAAGTCTGACGACGAGGGAACTGGTGCCTCAAAACTGGTCTTCTGGAACTGAGCTGAGGCTATTGAAAAGTTTGCCTGGCCGAGTTCGGCGTGGTGTACATCCGAACTCGATGAATGCTGCTAAAAGATTATATAGAGCGTGTACAAAAAGTGATGAGCAAGTAGAAAGTAGATAACCGATTTGTTTGATGTATTGTTTAATTTCTGTGCGTAAACATTACCGAGTCACTACTTTCGACTTCACTCTAATCTGCCTTCAATACGAACTTACCCAGCGGCCACTGCCCATTAAGACAGCCACACAGTAATATTCTTCTGTCCCAAGCGATGAAGGCAAACAGAATGTAGGGGAACACAATAGTGACTGGTGAGCGAACTTGTTTATAAGTAAATAGGCTGGCCCATCATCTACTTCAGTCTATCATGACAATTTCGGCTTTTCCCGATGTGAAGAAACCGTAGCAACTAGAGGTCGGTGGATGCAGTGGTTGACAAGGCTAGACGGCTCATGTAAATGTCACACACGATCTGCTGTCTGATTCCATATATACCGGGCCTTAATACTTTGTAAGGTGAGAGGTTTCATAGCGGTCAAATAAACTGCAGTACGGCAGGGAAGCCTTGCAAATCTTGACGAAATCTAACTTGGTACTTTAGTATATATTTGGTCGTGTTATTTTGATCTACTGAATGGATTTAATTCTGGGAAAGCCTTTTACTAAGGAAAACTGCGT